GCGAGGCGCAGAGAACCCCGGGGCTTTCGGAGCCCTTGAACTCGGCACCGGTCCACGCCAAGCGCCTGGGCTCCCAGCCTCCAGCGGAAGGGCGTTTGCAGCCCACGTGCAAAAAGAGCCCATGTGCGATGCAGCCCACCAAGGATTAGTTCACCCGCGAGTGGTCCACCAAAAAAAAACCCACCAAAAAACAAAAAAGACCCCCCCCCAACTTTTCCATCCATTCTTCTGTCAGGCCATTCTCTCTTCCCTTCCCCCTACTCGCTAAACAGCCTGCAAGTACCACAGTCACTCTTCGGTTTAGACCAAAAGACCATCCCCCCTTGGCCGCCAACAGAATGAAGAAATCCAGTATTGGGGACTGTTAAACTGTCTGAAAAACCGTGAGCCTGTTTGCTCTTAGAAGCTAAAGCTACTGCTTCTAATAAAGCTGTAGCCCCAGCTGGCTAAGCAAGTGACAGGACTAAGGTGGTGCGAGCACTTTCAGTGGAAACATCGGGTTTGTGATCACTGCAAAATAGAGTAGCCATGATGAAACAAATTAGTCTTGAAAGTTAAGCAACCCTGGGGACTGACTAGTTGTTGGATGGGAGGTCACCCCAGGTGATGTAGATCCAAACCAAGGTGTTGTGACTACTATACCATAGAAACCAGAGGGAAAACTTCACTCTGTTCCATTATCCCTGCTGAGCTGACTGAATAAAAGGCAGGATGACATGAAGACAGTTCTATAGCTAGAAAGAATCGTTCATCTAACAGTCACAAGGGAGAATCTATCAAGATTTTAAAAGGTATGCTCAGGAGAATTCATAACACTTTAGGGGACATTTCAATTTGCTGGCAGACATGACAGGTGGATACAGTTTATTCTTATATGCCTCACAGAAGGATGATCACAATAAGTGCCTAGAGACTCCATAAACCTTTGCTTTAGATAAGAGGGAAAGGAATTTATTTTCCTGCATCAAAACAGTGGCACAAAAATAACCTGTCAGGTTTAATCAGTGTCACATGTTTTAGTTGCTCTCCAGTAGTGAAAGGATGAAAAAGGTATCTTGTCTGCCACCAAAATGGAGTACTATTATCATAAGAGAAAAATGTACAATATATTTCTTGTCCTTACAATGCAGCCTTGCAGAATAAACAAACATTCCCACAGTCTGAATAATTTTGTTTTACAGGATTGCTCTTTAAGACTTAGTCTAAATCCCACTGATAAAAATGGGATTTTTTGCCATTGGCTTCTATGGGTTTTGGATCAGGCCCTTAATTGTAAAGGTTGCCATGGTAAGTTTTTATCTTTTAATAAAGGAGCCAAGCAACAAGGCATGAGGTGTGTTATTAAGGGAAGGAATGTGTGCTCTGTTATTCTTGAGGACAACCCTGAAACAGGATTAATGTTTTCATTTATTAGGAAGGTGTCATTTCCAAAGTTACAAAGTGATGAATAAATGTGCTTGTTCTTGGGCCAGAAAAAAACAAAACAAAACTAGACATAAATTAAGTGTTTAGGAGTACACAAGATAGCTAAGTGCGTACAGGACTAAAGGTCCTCCCAAAATTTTTCTCTATCATTTTTTTTTTTCAAATGAGGAATGGAATGATTAATTGTTTCCAAATACCAGTGATGAGTTAAGTAGATTGAAAAAAAAGGTCAAAAAGCAAATAGTACCAGAAAGTAAAAACAAAAGAAATTGGAATTAGTATTAGACACCATACCTGGTGAGTACTCCCTTTGGATGAAATCTTGCTGTTATGGATGTCAAAAGGAGCTTTACCAATGAGGGTATGATTTCCTTCTCTGACTTAATGAGACAGATTTCAGTAAGTATGTTAAGTAAGTGCATACCTTCCTATAGGTTCAAGGTAATCTTCAGGGTAATATTGAGAAATCTGTATTAATTTTTGCACATTAGCAAGTACAATGCTCATTCTACCTTACTTCTAATTAATGCACATCTAGCATAAGACAAAGTTCAGACAAAACCCACATGCTGCTAAGATTGCCCTTTTTATGCTCAAACCTTTAATTGTTTTAGAGCTGTGGTGAACAAGATATGGACCACAGGCTGGATATGGCTCCCCATGGGTCTGGAAACTTAGCATTAACAACATCAAATTTCCAGATCTGTCAAATTTCTGGACCTCATGGGAGCCTTACAGACCAAATAATGCAACTCCACATGCTGGAGGTGGCCCACAGACCAGCCCACACATCAGATCCAGGCTGTAGACCAACCCTGAATACTAGACCCGGCTTGTAGACCATCCCTACACCATCCCTACACCACTTACATGTATTTAATTCAGCTTTGTTCTGGGATTTCTGGTTTTGAGCAATTTCTTCACTCCAAAACCCACATGACTAAAACTAAAACAGAAAATGATATATTAAATACATTTAAATGGTTTTTACCAATCCATATTTTTAACTGTGCTGGGCACAATGAGAAGGAGACCATAAGCACTTCGGGATTGGGTCTGTCAGTTAGGACCCAAAAACACATGTACTCATGCTGAGCTTTATCTAAGTGAGCAGCCATATTTAAAACAATGGGGTTACTCCCGTGCGTTAAACTAAAAACACACATACATGTTGTTTCAGGCCTCACTATACATTTGTTTAAAATCCAGTTCTGTGCCCCCTTATACTAATTGGAACTTCTAGGAAATACTACAATACAACAAATAAATATAAGTAACACAGTGCTTACACTTAATTATTCTGTAATGAGTATATACCAATCGGTAGACACAGATTAGATAACTATTTTGCTCTTTTTAATTTAAGCAATGTATAATTTATTAAATATGCACATTACTTCATTCTAAATATTGACTGCATTTTATTGGTTTTAGTGTTTAATGGAGTATAGTCATTGGAAAGGAATAAGGGATGATTCAAATTCCCTTTTAGCTTCACACCAGGAGAGATGTGTCATGTGAAATTCCAATATCGATCACAACTGAATATAATTCATCTGCAATCAATGTATTTTACAATTGTTAGGGAACACACTTAATTAGATTCTATTTTAAAAAACAAACAAACCATGAAACAGGAAAAAGACCCCAAATAGGTTATGTCTAATAATTTGCAAATTTAGAAAAGAACAAGAAAAAAACTGTCCAATTTCTTAGTCATTAATTTTTTTTTGGCAGGATTAAATTAAATCAACTGTATTGTGTGAAATGGGATGAATCAGGGGACCAATGGCGGATAAAGCCTAGAGGACACTGATTTAAGTGCAGCCAGACCAGTAGTGAATAAAAGTGGCAAGCATCCCATGGTTTTGAGTGGACTATGCAAACCTATTTGGAGGTTTCAATATAGTTCCCAAAGGACAGATGTGCATATCATATAATTTTTATCACCACCAATATAACAGGCAGGTTGGCATCATAACTCTAGCTTTAATTAGTACTGATTTAGTAGTACTGCTTTCTCAGTGTTAGCATAGATTGAAATGCGTTACTGAAGCAGCAGCATAGCCTTGTTGTGTATTCCTTCCTCTCTTCCAGTGTCTTGTTTCATTATGCTGTACACTGTACAGTCTTTCAGACAAGAAGTCTCTCTTTATCTGCTAGGTTGAACATGTATCATGCTATATAGAAATATGATTATATTTATAGGATTATAAATAATAATAGTGTAATAATTGACATGTCAATAGTCTCACTAGAAAAGACATAATGCCTGATTCATCAGTCTAATACAAAACTATTACACTTCTACAGCAGCATAAAGGGGTCATAAATTGGGCAGATTTGCTACCTGGGTAATATTCTCAGCATAAAGATGTTCCTGACATGGAAGACAGCCAACATTATAGTTCCACATTGCTCCTCCTTATAGATTCAAGAACTAGATAGGAAGAAGGGTGACATTAAAACAAAAGAGCAAAAAGACATAGCTAGATATTGACTATCTACACAAGATGCTGACTGCGCAGTTGCTATTGTGCAGTCATTTAGTACTTGAATATACAAGTATTAAATGACTGCACTGTAAATAGAGTTACTGTGCAGTAACATCCCTGAATGGCTTTTTGGTGATGCTGACTGTGCAGTAGCTCATTACTACTGCTCAACAGTGTTGCATCATGCTTCATGCCATGCCATGCTACTGCGCAGTAGTAACAAGATAGTGTGCAGCAGTAACGAGCTACTGTGCAGTCAGTGTCTTGTGTAGATGCAGCCAGTCAGACGGGGTTGGAACTGGTAGTACAAAATCACTGCAAAATGAAAATAAAGTCTACTCTGAGATCTCAGAAAAATTAATCCAGTCTGATAAACTTATTAAAAAAATAGACACCAACCGTTGCATGCATGGGTATTTAAAAGCCACGGCTTGACATAGCTCCCGTCACTCAGGGCCAGGAGCTGAGCAGGGAGCCGGGCACACCTGGGTGTCCGCGCACATGTGAGCCTCCTTACTGGCTTGGAGGCAGTAGCAGCAGCAGCAGCAGCAGCAGCAGCAGCAGCAGCATGGAGAAACAGCAGGGGCAGCAACAGCTGATCCCCCTAAGGTAAGCTGGGGCGGAGGGAACCAGAGTAGCGGAGCCAGATCCAGAGGGGAAGCCCCCCGGGTCCCTTTTTTGCTGAGCCGGGCCGGGAGCCGCACTTCTGAGCCGCACACACGAACAGAGCGTGCAA